GCACAGAAAAAAGCCTGTCATGTCTAGGTATCAGTGGTTATTGATGATATAAACTAGCATGAGAGAAAGACGAAATTACCTATTTTTTGAATGAATGAAATTTCAGATAGAGTAAAACATTTGTGATCACCTGTAATTTCTACTACACAGAGTAAAACAGTTGTGATCACCTGTAATTTCTACTACACAGAGTAAAACAGCTGTGATCACCTGTAATTTATACTAGATAGAGTAAAACAGTTGTGATCACCTGTAATTTCTACTAGATAGAGTAAAACAGTTGAGACCACCTGTAATTTCTACTAGATAGATTAAACAGTTGTGATCATGTCATTTCTGCTACAGAGAACAAACAGTTGTAACCACCTAAAATTTCTACTAGAAAAGGGTAAACAGTTGTGATCACCTGTAATTTCTACGAGATAGATTAAACAATCGTGGTCACCTGTAATTTCTACTAGATAGATTAAACAGTTATGGAAGAAAACTTATGGACTGAATCATTCTGAGTGAGCCAATCCTTTAGATTATAATGTCCCGTTATATGATTTTAAAATACACAAGTTCTACGAAATCTCCTGAAAATGATGTCACACATATTCTCCGAAAAGGTGACAAAATATTTACCGAAACCGAGCTGTAATTTGACTCCTACCGATAGCCTTATTATTTCAGTTCTTCCGTCTTTATGGTTCCTAATTTTGTGTTATTGTACCCATTCTTAAGAGGTGATTGTTTCACGCTAGAGAATATGATTAATTATGTAGCTTTGTAATAACCTTTGTGTATTTATCAGTGTTTGTTTTATTGATGTCTGTTTAACACGCAAGTTACGTTACAAATATAGAAAAATATAGAATTTTACCCCGCATACCAGACAAAAGGAAGGTTTCGACCCTGTTTAAACAAAATGTCATGGAATTCATAAACAATATTCCTGAAAAATTACATAACCTGTAAGGGTTAAATATTTGTTTGCTAAATTCCTTTTTGTTCCAAAAATGTTTGTGTGTTTGGATAAAATCAATTTTGCTGCAGTGCTGTGTATATGATTACATTCTTTTTCAATAGCTAATTATTCTCTCTATGTTTGAAGAGTAATGTGTGATAACGTAAGTGCACTGCTCATTTCTGTTTACATTCAGTATAAACATTTAGAGTGCTGTACTTCTCAAAAATATACTTGAAAATCGAGAAGCAGGAACTATTGGTTAAGTAGACTTGAAAGAAGCTAGTAAATAGAATTATTGCCTGACCTATTAGATAAGCAAGGAGTGGTATTCATTTGTTGATTTGAAATTGTGGTATTAGCAGTTGTTTGTGAGACACGGTATACAAACGAGATTTTCAATTTGTTTCAAATTTCTAGACAGTACAAAATGTTGACTTGAACACCACCCGTAGTTTTAGATCAGAATCGACAAAACAGGTACATGATATGAACAAAAAAAAAGATACAGAAAGAAGCAAAAAATATAAGATCAGTTTTCAGCACAGTTGAGTGATTATTTCTGTCTTCATTGATGACAACTGTCATAGAAGTCAAACAATATAGCGTTCTCAAAGTGATAATTAAGGCCGTTCAAATAAGAAATACTATGCATATTCCTATAAAATCTACACTAAAACTATTAAACTTCTCTGCAGTCTTCATCAACATTAATTATTTGACATTCTACATGGTTTTGTCCTTTGACTGTCAACATCTATCAAAGAATCAGTGATCATACGATACGCCTTCGATTTGTTAACCAGCAAGACTCTAACTCAACACTTTGATTGATGAAACTATACTGAGAAAGTGAAAAGGAAATAATTCTGTATTATTACCGTCATTTTCTTCATTTTATTTTCCAACTGATGATATCTTTTAAGATGTAATGAATTATCGATAACACCTTCATAGGCAGAGATAGATACATATTTTTATCACCATGTGGAAATATAGCAGCCTCTGAAAAAAAGTGTACCTCTCAGTTCTTTTCAAAACAGGCCACAAAGGCCTTTCCAAGTTTCAAGTCCCTTCAATATTACACTTAAAGATAAATTGATAATGATTTTACATAACCACTTACTGACCACGTCTACTGAATACGCCCTCCAGAATTCAAGCTCAATGACACAACAAGCTCTTTCATCTCTTCTTATCTTGATCTTTAACTACAACGAAACCAACAGGGACAGCTTTCCACCTAGCAGTATTTCTCAAATTCACTGTAATAAATTTTCCATTTCTATATAGCAACAGCCCTGCTTCCATAACCTATGGTGTTAACATGTCGCAGTTGGCTCGATATTCGAGGACTCATTCCCAATATCACGATTTTCGTGCAAGATGTTGACAACAGAAAGTGAAACTCATATCACAGATACGAGAGGTGGAAAATAATGTAGAAGTTCAACGATCATCATAATTTAATAATTAGGAGATATTCTATTTCTTTGTGTGATATGAAGTTAGTCTTGTTTAATGTCATTACCATACCTGGTATGTTGTTTTTAATGTTAGCTGTAGTTAATTTGAATTGTCGAGGATTATATGACTGGTTTCGTTGATTAAGCATAGAACATTTGTTCCTCTGAAATGCCTGTTCTCACTTTTAAAAAACTTTATCTTTTGTTCATTTTGTCCTAAGTTAATCGAATCAGAGCTTGGATCAAGATTCTGTTGACAAATCAAAATACAGAATTTATTATGTATCAATGCTAATAGATTTCTACAACTATGCAGACAAAAATATATAATTGGTGATTATGAATTTATAGTTAACACAACTAAGAAACACGACGAAATTATTGCTAGTAAATATCAACGACATCTAGGGATTTGTTTTGTAGATATCAGACAGTCCCCTACATTTATTTTACTGTGAAACTGTGCTTCGATATTTTATACATTTTTAATAGATAACAAGTATTTTCAGTTTTAGTACATTTTATTCCAAGCAATAAGCACATATATTCATAAAAATACAAAAAAAGTCCATAGTAGGATCTTAGCTTTAACCATAGTATGGATTTTTATCTAATGTATATGTTTGATCTTTCATCTCCTATGGTAAATTTGATTATGAATGGACATAAAATTAAGAGAAAAATATATATATATATATCAAACAGTTTATCAAACTAATGAAAAAAGAGATTTTTCAAATAAGAATATTCCAACCAGCACTTTTAATATAATTAAAAGGCTAAAACAAAAATGTCCATCTGTCATCCATTCTTTTAACTGTTCTAATCTAAAATTTAAAAGGCACGAATAAGGAACAAGGAGGAGTTTTAAGAAAGACTCATCCCGTGTATATCGGTAACAGATTTCGTTGTCAAATTTCCAGACAAAATTTCATTTTCAAATTCAAGATAGCCTAATATCAGTCATTAAAGCTTTCCTGATATTCCGCTATGGACCAAGGGAGATGCATCATTTACTTCTTAGCGATAAGAAGACGTATTTAAGGCCTGACCATAGACGTAGAGTGATTTGAACAGCCCAACATCTGATGTTGGCAAAAAAAAAAAAAAAAAATTTCAAAAACATTTCAGCAGAACAGTTGATTCTAAAAGCATTATTATATAATTCAGTGTCCACGTCACGTGAATGACACTATACGTGGTTAAATGTTAAAAATGAAATTGCATATTGTGTCGTCATTTTTGACATAGAAACATCACTTCAATAAACCTCTCCGACACATCGATTTTATATCAACTGAATAATGATAAAAAATAAACATGTAAAAAACGAACAAAACTCACCACACCCAGTACTATTATGATGTACGTTAACTTACAGTGAAACTTCACTGAATCAACTGGGGATTCACTCTTTGGCCGGATTTATGAAATGCCAGTGTAGCGCTGAAATACCAAAGTCTTCTCAATTGTTCATTTACATGACGATCATTACGTTATATGTCAGCAAAGTTAGGATTATCAATATATCTTTATACACGTAAATAAAGAATCATAGTAAGGTATACAATATTGTTCAGTTTTAGTGAAGTATTTTACGTCCTATTAACAGTCAGTGTCGTTTAAGGATGTACTAGTTTTGGGTGGTTGAGGAAAGCCGGAGTTCCCAGAGAAAATCCATCGACCGCCGGCGAGTACCTGCTAGGTCTCCAACCCGCGACCCAAAGGTCAGATGCCTTAACCATTCGACCTTCCCGGTTCTTGGAATATTCATCGATATTCGTGCTATATTGATACAAACTATTTTTCAAAATATCATCTACATGTTGAATATAGTGTGAACACAATTAGGTCTACATCAGTATAACTTACATAAATTCTCTTTTGATTTTGACCTCAGAAAAATCTGACAAAATGTAATAACAATAAAATTAATTAAAAAATATATTGAAAAATACCATTAAAATGAGACAGTGTATAAAACGATGTATAAACATTTCATTTATATATACATATAGTAAGGAGACATGTGTTTAGAAAATTCATAATATAACTCTAAAAATAATAAACTGTATGTAAATATTTATCAATCGAATATCTGGAATGGTCTATAATAGTTTTGTATAATTCTTTTTCACAAAAGCAATACTTTTAATACTCCATCAATGATAAGATATTGATTTAACAAGCGTTCTTACTTCGGACTAGAATTCTGTTATATAATTATTTTAGGGAATATATTGAAAGTTTCATACCTTAAAATCATACATAGTTGTCAATTGATTTCATTGTACGATGTAAAATACTGTTGACTTTAATCAATTATATTTTCGTGTGAATGATATTATCCGGATATTCAAAGTCTCACAACTTGATTGGCAATTACCGCATATGCGTTAGTAATATATATTTTATAAACTTAAATCAATGAAATTTTCCCATGGGTGATATGGAGTATCAAGAACGACGACCATAATATAATGACTGTATCGTTTTCTATATCATTAAATGAAAAATCTATAAAAGGGTAGGATACTTTTGTTCTATATGATATAGTATCAGATCCAGTTAAGGCATCATTCACATTATACATCATTTGGGATATTTTCATTTGAGTCTTCCATTGGTAAAAGTCTTCCTTGTTCCATGGTATCATCATCATTCCCGGCTGATTGTTTGGAATGTTTGCTTGCACGCAGTGCCAGCAGTAACTTCACAGGGACAGTCATGGGTTGTTCCTGTGAAACATAACATATCTTGGTACCTTTACTTTGAAATATACTAAGTTTTGATATCTTATGTGCGTAATCATTTCTTTGTCTTTTTTCACAGTCAAACGATACGATAAAGAAGCGCCGCCTTTTCAGTCCAGAAAATTGTGTTCCTCGCAGTAAGTTCATCACATAACAAAAAGTCTGTGCCAACCAATCGTTTTCGCTTTCGGTACCTAATGCAAGATTTCCCTCAGAATGCAAAATGAAATCCGCATTTCCTTGACTTTTAAGTAATGTGTAGAGGTCTTTGGATGCTATGAAAACGAAGTTTGAGCTATCCTGCACACATTTGTCAAGCCAATCAAACTTATTGCTAAATATCTGTCCTTGGGACGCTTTATCATCGACAAAATGGACCGGAAGTTGAGAATCCTTAAAAAGTAGGCTAGCAAATTCTCCTATCTTCTCTTTTGGTAAAGAATCACCGATGTAAACAAGCATAATGTCATTTCGTTCTTTGATTCTCCTCTTCCTTTCTTTCAGCCTTTTTACAGCTGCAAAAATTACAATATGACTTCATTAAATCTATATCTTACAAAATTGGAGTTTTCGATTACGTTTATATTTGTCTAGCCAGACAAAATGAGTCATACAGATATATCCTGTAAGTGAATTTAAGATCTTTATCAATACTTTTAAAGAAATTTCATGGTTTTTTCCCGATTTCATCGAAAAAGCAGAAAATCTGATAGATTCATTTATTCTTTGATTGTCAATGTCAAAAAAAAAATTCTTTACCGTTATGATGACGACACATTAACATCCCATACGTCAAAACAATGAGAGCCATCACAATTCCGGTAGATGTTCCAACAATCCATAAAACTTTGTTCACATCAACAGCATCTTCGGTCGGTTTTGTTTTGACGCTATCTGGTGAATTATAAATAAGTTTATGTTTCTCAGAAACACTCACATATAATCATTGAAAAGTCAAATTTAACTATATACGTATAACATCATTTGCAAAACAAGCTATTCACTCTTGTTATCCGCACGGGAGAGCGAATGTTTTACCGTGAGAGGAAAACGGAGCACCCAAAGAAAACCCACGTGGTCATGCGGGTGACCCCCATACCTTTTCACGCCCGATCGGGGAATCGAAAGCCTGTTGCATAGATGAAAGACACGTGCGTTACCACCAGTATGTGGTGTAATTTCTGGATTAATATATATTGTCAATACGTGTTATAGATTTTCCGCTAACCTAGAGGATGTGATTCTTCAACCCTGCACACCGCCATAACCCACTCTCAACTGAAGGAACGCCTTCGTTCTCTTGTTATGAGAACTTCCTTTTCCAATATTTTCTGACAACGAAGCCAACATGGACAGCTTTCCATCAATGTGAATTTTCCATTTCTGTAGAGCAATATACATGCATCTCCAACCTATAGTATTTATATGTCGCAGTTGCTTCGATATTCAACTGACTGGCAGACTCGTAACACAAGGGTTCCAATAATGCAGGTTGATGAAAATTTCGGAGAAGTTTTCTTTTTCTCAGGTGAGAGCGTGGCATTGATTACTTGCATTGACTAAGATTTACATGGCGGGTGCCGTCAATAAAGCAGACGACGCTTACTGTTCCGGAACACCTGGTCTTATTGTCCTTCAGGAGTTATCGTTCAACTCATTTATTCATATCATGCCCTAGTTTTATGGAGTTTTAGTTTGATTATGATGATGTTGCCATGTTGGCATTTTCTTGATGTTTTTTGGAAACTCTATACTGGCGAGGAGAGATTACCATTAGATTTACCAATTATACTTGCTGAGATATTATTTTTAATGATTAAACGAGTAAAACTAAATTAATAAATGGAACAAACTTGTTACGTTATGGGACTATACATATGCCGACAAGAAAGATGAAATATTTCCTTGTAAAGACATTAAAGAAGCAATTTAAAATGCAAAATAAGAGAAATATGAAAATTGAAGCATAAAAGTGGTATAACCTTTTTATAATAATGCATAATAATTGCACGTCTTTTAGTTCATTTCTTTTTCAGTGATTGCAAGCAAAGAGTAAAAAATTGTTGAAACACGGTTATGTGTGAGCAGATATACTACAACAAATAAATGACACACACACACAAACACACACACACACACACACACACACACACACACACACACACACACACACACACACACACACATATATATATATTTACCTGTTTCTGTCTGAATGGTGATTTTCTTTGGACATACCACACTTTTGTTGTTTTTACATTCGAAATGGGTCTGTAATATTCCATATCAAAAAGACAGTTTAGAGTACGTTCCATCAAATGTTTAGCTTAACCATGAGAATATATTAAGATAGAATTATTCGATGACGTCATTATATTATATCACAGAACGAAAACAAAACAGACAGTCAAAAACGATATTACAATGAAAAATACTTTCTGCTTACAGGGGTAACTGATCAAAAAGAATTTAACGAATATTTGGACACAAGAACTTTCAGTAAAATATGAAATGTGTTCCATTCTATGATGAGAGTTTTTAAAAGTTCCTATTTAGAGTATAGTACCAAGCAATTATGGCAGGGCCAAGTCAAGTTTTAAGATTTAAAAATTCAAATTTTTATATTAAAGTTTGGCAAACAAAATTTAAAAGGACCTTATTAGACACAGGAGTCAAATTTTTTTAATTGATCATTTATCAATATGTTTGAATTAGTTAGATACCTCGATAATAACTAAATAATATTTCAAAAGACAATTGTTCTATTATGGAATGGTATAGAGTATTTTAGACTTTAGAAGAAAATATTTATCCGATGAAGTTTTGATTTGAAAATAAATAAATAATCATACTACCTAAGATAGATATATGTGGTATTGTATTCTGATTCCATGAATGACAGCTATTTTTATTTAAAAGACAAAGTATAGTGAAAATTGGCGTATCTTCAATAACGTACCAAAACTGTATAGACACCGCCGGGCAAGTTTAAATAATTCTCTTCGCAGTCACTCTGTAATTGCAAAAAATAATCTGTAGAAGCATAATAATACAGACGTCACGATAGTGATTCCTTGTAACTGATATACTCATGCGATATCTTTTAACTCCAACAGGACATGTTATGTAATACAGACCCGACAGAAGCGTGTTTGAAAGCATTTAACTAAAAGCAGTCTTATGAAAGGCATGTCCTTTAATTAAATTACTCCTTCAATGGAAGCGTATTGACTTTTGTTATTAGCAAAGGGTCGCTTTACTTCACTTCTCCTTATCCTCAAATAAGATTCAACACTTCATAAATACAATTTATCTTTCTTGTTATAATTACTTTATTTCATGAATAACCCTTAAACCTCGATAACAAGTCAAACTCATAAAGCCTATCTCGACAAAAACTGTAGTTTTTACTTAATGAAACTTCATCTGTTAACTGTGGTAGAAAACCTGATCATTATCGTTTTAAGGGTATTATCAAAATGGCTTGAACCAGTCATACCTTATTCGTTGGTGTGTAGATACTATCGGAACCTTGAAGTGTTACCGTGGCATATTTTAGAAGCTGAGAACCACATAGATTGAGGGATATTGTCTTGTTCGTTGTATACGTGATGTCTTCACATCTGCATTTGTTTTCAACTGTGAAAGATAAAACCATTTCTAGTTATTGTATTATACAGCATGCAGAAACTTTTATAGATCATGAAAGACAATGAATGTTGGTGACCTTTATCAAGATTGTAGATTTTATAATATTTGCACCATAACCTATTGTAGGTCATTGCATAGGTGTTTTCTATGAGTAGGATATAGGTGTCTTTGCCAATACGCTAGTTATCTCAATGAGAGGGTAACACTGGTTAGATTTCTCGGTGTCGATAAAGAAGAAACACCAAGGCACCTCGTATTAATATTTGTATGAAACGGCTGTACGATGCATGTTAACTCATTATTTCGCTCTACTGTTATATACAGATATTATTGTATCAAAGTTGTGTCCAGCTGCTTGTTTCTGATCTGTCAGTCAAAAATGTAAACTTGTGTAGTAGCCAATAGATAAACCACCCATCATTAAAACGACGTTACATAATCAAATCATAATTTTGAAAAATCAGTAGAAAACATGTTTAAGTATTAATTATAAAACATCACTTGTGTTTTCTATCGAAAGCTTTCACTATTAACGAGCCACACGGAGATTGGGGCATCCCCTTCTATCTGTATGAATGACTTATAAACAGCTTGTATCATGAAAAGAAAAACAAAGAAAACTTCAAAATCAGGGGTAAATAATCCAAATAGGATAACCAGATGCTAGTACATGATGAAAGTAAATGTTACATGATGCCAGAACCTGATGAAAATAAAGGTAACCAGATGCCAGTACATGATGAATGTAAAGGTAACTAGATATCAGTACATGACGAAAGTAAACTTAAAACACAAGCAATGTATGCTGAGAAGTGTATATTTAGAGCAAAGCCTCACTTAACCAGACTCCAAATAGATGTTATTTATGTTTTTGGTAAGTGTTAACAGGCAGAAGTGTAATGTTTTCTGCCTTTTAAAAGTCCTTCGATGTTATTGACCTCACCAACGATTTTAAACGTCAAGTTTGACAACCTTTAACGCCAAACTGGTATTAGCTATTTGCTATTCCATCAGTTGTCGGACATTTCCTACAGTTTGTATAACGTCCAATGATATCCTTCTTTTTAATTGGGTAAATAAGGAAATTAACTTTTAAAATGTAAATATAAGAAATATTCGGGTTGTTTTTGGTTTCTTTTTTTTTATTTCCCCCTTTTTTATGTGTAAACATATTTCAAGAAAACACGCTAACTCGCTTCATTTAAAATATTCGTGAAAAATGCAGATTACACACAAGTAAGCAAAGAAAATTTAAGAGAATATTTCTTAAGTAAATTCACCACCATAAGAGTCATTTCATTTGTTGTATAATAACTGTTTAATTCTACTTGCCTTGGCTTTTTATCAGACACTTACCGTTTGGCTGGTTTATCTTCTCGACATTTGTATTGCGTTCTTCGGCATCTCCAACAATAATCGGAAGTCTCATTAAAGACTTAGTTCCCTTCCTTGTTTGTATCGGGGACACTCGCGTAATGAATAAAGCTTTTATGTTAGGCAAAGTCACCATTAGTTTGAAATAAATAGGACCACTCTGAAATAACATCAATATAAGATGGCAAGTCAAAATATATGCTTCACATTTATAGAAATATTGAAAACATATATGTAACGAAGTAATATATGACTATCGAGAATATTCTCTTTGCAGTAAATAAAAATAATTAATGGCAGTTTAATCTCCTTTTCGTCTGTTAAGAAAGAATGAGAATGAATTCGAACAAACAGACTGCTTTTTCAGTATAGGTTTTCACATTTTATTCTTTTAGAGCATGTATTATTTTGTAAAACGGATTGATTGGGTTTTTTAAATTTCAGGGTGCATACTATTTATGTACTCTGATATGTAGGTATAAATTTATTGTACACTTACCTTAGTCTGCAGTCTTCGTTTCGTTTCTAAAGCAAAGATCTTGTAATCGAAGTCATCGTCACGAGACAAGGTGAGTTCTATAACCACACCACGGGATCTGTTTTCTGTATGCAGCAAATGGGTTCATTTACTTATGACTTGCATATCGTTGTATCTAGTTTAATCGCTGTCCTTGTATACAGGCGTGCAATCATTCCCAGAGTGCATAGCGGCACCTATGGAGAGTACTGCTCTGCACAATGGGATAACAGTCTCTTTGAGATATTGATAATCTATTATCTGATACATACATGATATCATTATTTTTCGTGATTTCGTAAATATTTGCATCTTTAAATTTTCATAAGATCAATGTGTCCAAATCAGACATTAAAGTATGTTGATCATTTTCTTTTACATACGATTTCTAGGACATCTTTGGGTACGTATACGGAACGTCACTATCGCCAAGCCATCATTAGTCACATTTTGTATTAAACTATCCACACTCTGTTTACAATTTGTATTTTTCTTTGTGAAATCTACAAAATAAAAAGATAACAACAATGACGATGACAACGATAACGACAACGACGACGACAACGTTACCGGCACCAGCACCAACAATAACAACAACAAAGAAGAAATTACCAAAATTGCATCAGAACCATAATCTTAATTCAAATTCAATGAAACTAGGGCATGATATGAAGTGCAGCAACTGAGCTATATAAATATTTCTACCTCTGTATTGATTGAGGGCTTTATCAAGGATCCTATATTCGATAGAAAATCTCTTCAGAATTCCATGTAACTACAAAAGTACCTTTTTCATTGATTTCTTGAATGTCACATCCATAGGATTTGGTTTTACATTCATCCTGAAAACAAAACAGAGATTGATAATATGCAAGCTTCAAACAAAAAAGTATCCAATAAAGACAAATATATTGAAAAGCTCCTTTCAACCATTTAAAAGCATACCGACAGAACACAGACCACACATTACAATAACAACCAATATACTGTAAATTCTACTTGCATTGGATGTACCAATGTTTTCGTGGTGAATCAAACATTTTTAACAAAAATGATTTCCTTTCCGGAAACCAAAAAACAACCATAAATTATGTTATATATATTTTTCACTGTATCCTTTTTTTCCCTTTTTTATTTTATTTTTGAAAATGGCCTAAATCATGGGCTCTTGAATATGTTTACTTACAGTATAACTTTAATGATTGTACAAAACACACACAAGTGAATAACACCTTTTAATAAGTTGGAGTTAGAACAATGCATAAAGCCGCATCATACAGCTATTTTTTCCTTCTAGGACTCTTCAGTGATGCTATGGGCCTAAATTTTGAGGCCTATGAGGCGGCTGAAGAACATCCAACGTGATTGAAAAAAAAGTCAAAATCGAGATGGGGAGGTACAGCAGTCCCATAATTAAATAAATTTCGTAATTTTTATACATCAGATAATTTTTGAGCAGCGTTAAGTATTCACTTAGTATACTTGCATACAGCTTTCCAAGAACCCATATATTTGGTGCCGGTATTAGGAGATACTTTTATACTAAGATAGAAGTTTCTTTTTTGCGCTTTAACCAATCATGGCTGTCAATGAACGTACACTGTATCCTGGCGATAGCCAAAAAAGTCAAACACTCGTCTCAGTAAAGGGGGTTGTGTTGTTAACAAATTACCTTAAAAGTACTGCAGATTGTTATTCAGCAACGTAAGAAAATAAATAAGTGTTTTCATTTATTATAATTTCAATGATAATTACATGAACCAAACTGGACACTATTCCGTCAACCACTATTATCGAAACGTAAGGGACTTAACTCCGTAATCATCATACATAAAACCTTTATCTAAATACAGAATTATATCAACTACCACATGATATTGCGTTGTGATATATATACAAATCACGCATACGCTTAAATATGAAATTAAGTCGTTGATTATTTTATGTTAGTGTAAACAAATACAGATTTGTTATTGAGTACATGTCTATATGTTCTGTTCCATACAGAAATTCACAAACATTTAAATCCTTATACAAGATGTATTTTCAAGGCAGTTTCGTCCATAATGCAACAGGTACCTCTCCACAAAGATTTTGTGTCAGTACTGATAGAACATCACTCCATACAGTTGCTATAATTTATATGCAATTTAACAACCATTTGAAATTGTATCTAACCATCATGCATTACGTAATATGATTCTATGTTTCGTAAATAATAATTGCCTAATTGCTAGTTTTAGTGACGGGTATTGATTTCTAGGCCAGTGGGTGTATTGACCTTTTGGCTTCTATATACACTGTTATCGAGTGTTACCTTCCTGTAGGTGTACCATTCATCTCTTACTAGAGTCTGTCTGCAATTTCTTCGTCGTCCCAATACTTCCTTGTTCCTGATTCGCTTTTATTTAAAATTCTCTCGTCCATGAAAAGACATTAAAAAGCTGATGGCATTTAAAATTTTTCTTTTCAAAATTACCTTTTAAAGAATCTCCTAACCTACATTTTTCAAACTTTTCTACGCATGGGGACGCTACTTTTGTAAGCAGTTGGGTTTGTTCTCAATGGATTAAGTTTAGTATGAGTTTTGGTCAAATACCTTCCTTTTTTGAAAAAAAAGTAACAATGTTATCAAATGAGACATAGATTGCAACATTTGTCAAAAGAACAATAAATATGTTCAGAAATTCACAGCAAACGGATTGAATGATGTAGCATTTCTATACAAAAGCTTTTAGTTTAATGTTACTGTCGGTATGGTTTCTTTATTTGTGTTGTAACGCTATCACTATGATAACAACGCGTTAGAATAATTACGTTTGTCGTTTGTTTAGCACCATTATTATTCAGATAAGCAATTTCAGTGTTGTAACAGAGTTCGTGATTTATTGAAGTAACTTTATAGTATATTGGTGAGTGTGTGTGTGTGTGTGTGTATGTGTGATATTCACACATAATATTATCATTATGTAAATGACGTCCTTCAAATTTGTTTACGATTTCTTATCTAGATTTTTGTTTACAAAAGCTGCAGGACTATCTCAAGTTACTGAGAAACAACTAAATGTGAAGTAGGTTATGTTTAAAGTACGATGCCCTTTTTGTCTGTTGGTAAAAGGGTGAATTAGAAACCAACAAATCTGCATCATAGAACGACATGGCCACGCTTGCTTAAATACAAACAGTTCTGGATTATTCAAGACATGTCAAAAAACATATGTTCTCAACTTAACATGATCTAGAGTCAGACTCCCCTTTTTACGTGACATCAACTTCATTTTTAACTTTTGGGTTTTTATATATAACTTGACATATATTTGAAAGCAAGCTTTCCTCCAGTAATAGATACATGTCTGATTGTTTTTAATATCCCTACTATTGATCTATTGTCAACTGTATCACTTTTTAAAATTCATTTGATGCTGAGATGCATTTGGTGCTTATGGTAGCATCTTCATCAGCTAATCCCTATCATAATATCAAGACAATTAAGTTTATATAATTGACCATTGTATTTCGAATATCCAACCTGATTTTCACACAGGCACAATAGGAAGATTGTTTCAGCATGAAGACTGTAGGTAGTGATAAGATCGTATCAAAAATGTATTTTTTTAAAAAAAATTTTATTTATTTATTTTTTTTTTTTTGTGGTGGGTTGGAAGGGGACTTTATATCTCGTTGATGAATTCATTTTCAACAATCTAATGATTATAAGCCTTAATTAATAAAGATAAACGAAATTAAACCCTCCACAAAAACTGATAATTTCACTATATATGTAAGCACGCTATTGATAGCATAAGCTTTCATTTTATTGTGTACATATGTTATATTTAAAATGCAACTTCTGCAATATTTAAAGAAAATTTTCAAAAATGCTGTAATACTGTCGCTGTGTTGTAAACAAAGGTTTTAACTTATCTCTTATGTGTAATTCCTTTCTATTGATAAAGATCGCATCAAGTGGTAATATGTATATATTTTGAATTCTGAACTCCACATTTCGATAAATATCAAAGTGATTAAGAAGCAGAATGCTTTTTTTTTTACTCCAAACATTTAGAATATTCAGCAAACAAGAAAATTATTGCCATGACAAGTACGCTATTATTGACTGTTTGAGATAAATGCTGACATACTTGATAAATACGTGTCATTTTATTGACTGAACTGTTTTATATGTAACAGGTGCAGCTGTCAGTAGCAAATGGCACGCGTCGCATTACATGATATCTATGCTGATAAGACGACAGAAAAACCTGATGCTTGAACCCCGGATATAGAGTTTGTTTACGCTGTATATTATCATTTATTTCTCCTATATTTCCTCTTTCTGCGCTCTATAAAATCCATATGTAAGTATTGTATTGAGCCGCATTTAGAACGTAACAGCATTCCAACACGGCGCATCGTGTCCTCGCCGTTACTGCGTAATCATCTTACTACTGTGACGCCACAACCAGCTACAAGTATTTAGCTGTTCAGGCTATCAAGACTTATGAAAACAATACATGATAGGTTGGTAATCAGAGATGGATACAAAAGGAAACGCTTTTCTTCAAAGATTACATTTCATATTAAATATAATTTAATCTGGCATTTAATGTTGCGTGTCGATCGCTTGACATTGGTTAACAAAGATAGGTAATCTGACGATATATTTGTAAAATATATAAAACATTTTTAAAAAGCTTAATGTCATAACACAACTTAAAGTCAATTATTAATCTTTAACAAAAATAGTATAGAAAACTTGTTTCCGGAATATTTTTTCTTTAATGCTGATGAATCAGTTTTTTTGTTGCTTGTTCTGGGAAAAAACCCCGTTAAAGATAATTATTTTATGAAAATTATGAAAAAAGCGAAAGAAAAACTACAGCAATGAAGAGTGTAAGATTTAAATTAATACCACTGACATACAAAGTAAAGAAGTATCTCGTCAGTTGAAATGATTTAGCTTTAGTTATCAAAATCATCAGCAAAACCTCTAGTTTGGTATGATTATTGATATAACGCGAAAAAATATATAACAGTGAACACCTTCACCGTTTTATTTAAATAAAAAATAGAAATTAATTAAAACATCAAAAATAAATATAATAAAAAAATCTGGTGAAAACTTTTTTCGTAAAATACCCACGAAATACTTTTATATAGATTTACATGTTTGATCAGATACATGTTAATATTTTTTACTTATGAATATAATACGTTAAATGTCATAAGAGAGCATTATCCACTTACCTGTATTACGCAAGTCTCGATACCCCACGCGTCGGTTTCGCTCGGTCGTGCACTACATTTAACTTGAACGACCAAAACGTAAAGTCCAACGATAAACCAAAAAGCAGACGACATGTCTTCACTTGAGCAGATGTGCATGCATGTACGTGCATGTACGAATCCTGATTACGAGATGTGACGCGTTGCGGCTAGTTTACATAGAACAATTAAAACTTCCGTAAATCACCATGGTATCAGTGTACACTTAGACCAATAGGGCGCTAGCTAAAATAGAACAGGTAAAAACCCAGAAGGTGATTTCTTTTACCTGCATCGGCGTCATGGAAAGACTCGTTATTATGACAATCGGGAAAATAGTTCCTCATACTTTGCTAATATACATAAATATCTTGAACTACACACCATTTTAATAGATAATGTTCAATTACAGTTCTTTCCTTTTTTCCGCGTCTTGCGATATGAAAAACACTAACATCTTTCGAGTAATGTACAACTGTGTGTTATTTAGATAGTAGTGCATTGTGGCCTATCGCCTATTGAAAAGACGACACAATCAGCTTGTTTTCGACAGTTGCGCTTCAGTTATATTGCTTAG